AGACAACAACAACAGCAACAGAGAGACAAACAGAGACAGACAGAGGCAGACAGAGGCAGACAGAGAGAGACAGAGATAGGCAGAGACAGAGACAGAGACAGACAGAGCTAGGCGGAGACAGAGACAGCGGACACAGACAGATACAGAGAGACAGAGCGAGAGAGAGAGAGAGAGACTGGATGCAGTCCTCTTACTTTGACTGGTTTTCTGTATATTCTCTGATTCACCACCAGCTTTGAGAGTATGCGTTTATCTACAAGTCATGAAGCCACGTGTTTGCGCAAAGGATGAGTTCTATAAAGCCGCACGCCTGCCCAGGTGGATCATTTGCTCTCCAAGTGCAATACTTGCGCTAATTCTGGCACACCTGATACCGCTATGCAGCATGAGCACTGACCTTGTCATTCCATCAACATTTTTCTGGGCTTTGCCGTTTTCTAGTGGTGTTTGTGATGATGCATCCAACCCTTCGGGAAAGGAGAAACCTTCACTTTTTGTGTTGGTTCCTTAGATTTTGTGGAGTACGGCGCTTGACAAGCAATCTCATTGTCCTGCCAGCACCGTCAACTTGCCAGCTTCAATCATTTGCGAGCAGGCCCTGCCTTAACGGCCACCTGGGTATGGCACACGTTGCACTCTTCGCCGTTGAACTCTAGCGTAGCATTGTCGAGCATCATTTGCGTGACGCGCCTGAGCATCCAAACCGAAATCTCTGAGTGTTCCTCAGGCCTCGGAAATTTGATCGTTGTCCGCTTGCTTTTGGTTGATCCATGGCCTGCCTCAGCTTGTTGGTTTATTTTTGCTCCCGCGCAACCTGCAAAACCAGATTCAGCCAGCGCAACCATCCTCCGCATTTTGGGCGGTAAAGACGAATCAACCTTTGGACTTTCAAGACTTGGCAAGAACCTGGAACATCTCGCCTTGCCGCCTACACTTCAAAGTCACTGGACCCCACAAACTGCCTCAAAAAGTTGGGTACTGCGGCTGTGTCATGATTTTATTGCTCCTTGCCCGAGTCTTGTCCGGACTGCACTTTTGTGCTCCTGGCGTCTACTTTGCTGACTCAGGCCAGTACGATCTGTGGCGCCATTCAATGAGCCATCCGCTGACTGGTGGATGTTCCCTCATGACCAGGCAGCGCTTATTGCTTGCAGATGCTAAAAGATGAGCGGTGTCTTTTACGTTCTTGCTATCATGCTCTCATTCCAATTGCGCTTTGGGGCAGGAAGGCTGCAAGATTGATTTGGCGCAGCAAGCTCGAGCTGGGCCTCAGCACTGAATTCAATGTACGCATTTGCGTGGCTGCGTTGATGGTATGAGTTGTTGTGACTAACACTCGTTTACTTTGCCCTGTGAGTGTTTTGGAGCTGCCTCAAAATTCCTGAATGGTGGCTTTGGTGTCCATTTAAAGCCAACCAAGAGGGAGTTCTCCTCCTTGCGTTCCCCCCAAAGAAGACACACCCATTTGACGCTTGACCGTTGGTGGTCCTTCATCCCAATCAGCATGTTGGGTCAAAAGGGGGAGCACTTGGAATGAGAACTCAAGAAGCCAGCAGTCATGGTTGGTGGAAATGAAACAGCTTTCTGCATTCAGCCTTGTGCCTGCACTATTACCTTCTTACTATCGGCTTCTATCACTTCCGATGCTGCCTGCACCATCTTGCTGTTGCTGATCTTGCGCGGCTGTTTGCGTTCTTTGAAGGCACAGCGTTGTTGGGACGAACCAGGTTGCATGTGCGACCTCCTGACCCCCTGACGTTCTGACCTCCTCAGCCAATCCCTTCAGCTCTTCCCCAACGTTAAAGGGAATCACACATGAAGGGACAAACAAGGTTAACGTTTGTTGCATATCTGAGTGTAAATCATGCAGTATTCTCACAAGACCTTGGTTGAGCCAGTACGGAAAGTTACCGACTATTTTCGATGTCACTGATTGCTTGCATCCCTGGGACGCTTCCATGACTGGTAGCGCATCTTTGCCGCGCGGTTGGAGCACGTCAAGTTGGCCTACTTGAAAGAGTCAGAACTACTTGATGTGAGTGCTCTAAAGAGCAATGCTGTTTGCTTCTCCTTAGACCGCAAGTGAGACAAGCCCGTTCTACCTGCGATATCCAAGAGAAGTGCAGGTCATAGCCCGCCTTCGGGATGAGCTCGTGGCTTACCGGGCCGAGTCATGCTGTCTTCAACGAGGACGTGAACTCTCGATTGGCAGGTTGGATCAGCGAGGACTTGTGGATGTTGCCATTGCTGCAAGTGACGAGAACAGGCCAGCCGACAATGTAATTTGGTTCAGTCATTGCTTGTGTTTGTCAGGCCAGACCATGCTATTAAAACATGGCAAGAGCTTGGCCGAGCTGAAGTGGCAGGCTCCATGGTCCAATGGTCCATAGCGTAAGAAGGGGCAATATGCGATGGCCCTCCTGCCAGGCGGTCCATCAGGCAGCTATGTCGGCTGTCCTGGCCTTCATGCGCCATGTTTCCTCATGGAGACTGCCACTCGCTTAGGCTTGAATGTACACGCTTATGACGGCTTGGAGCCTTGGCTTGAGGCCTGGAAGCTGCGTGTTGTGCGGTTAGTTGCAAGCCGCAGGCCCGCCACCATGGGTTTCGCTCGGCTCTGCGAAGGTTGGTTCCAATGCCAGCGTTGCATCACAGGCAAATTCTGCCAGGCTAGCAACAGTTGCCGGGGTTCCTTTGTGCGCAGCAGCCTCAGTGATTGCAGGTTTTTTGTTGAGAAGCAAGTTGCACTTTTGTTTCACGCCTGAGTTGCCGAGGTGTCTGAGCACGGCAACGGGGACATCAGTGGCGTGACTTTGGCCCAGGTCATTTTGGAGGATCGTGATGTGAGTCCGTGAGAGCTGCATGCGGTGTGCACCAGGATCTACATTTCCTCCAGTGAGTGCCTCACGAACGAACCACGCCATCCGCGTTGTCTGGACTCGTTCGATCTTTGGGCACTAAAACGAGGCCAGCTTCTTGGTGCTACTGGCAGCCAGTGGAGCATCATTCGACGTGGGGAATGGTGCAGGCACGGCAGAGGTAGGAGGTCAAGGCAATGTTGGACTCACAGCCATGCAGAGTACGGACAGTGTGTGCGCTGTGCAATTCACGGTTGTTCCACCTTCTTTGGTGAATGCATTGGATAACGCGTACACAGTGCTCCTTTGACAAGCACCTCGCTACAGCATGAACAAATGAGGGGCTGCTATCAAAGACGGAGGGTTCCAAACATTTGCGCGCGCCGATGCCAAACATTTGCAAGCGTGAATTGCTTATTTTTTTCTTCAGGATGTGCAACGTGCTTAACCGCAACAGGTGGACTTTGGCGATTCTCCGTCCAGTGAGCCCAGGCACCGCTGCATTTTTGACATGAACCTTGCTGGTATTGTTGCTGCTTGTCAGTGCCAAGGCCATCAAGCTTGCCGCACCCAAAGTACTTTGTTTTCGCCCACTTCACCCGCTTTCTGAGGCTGAACACGCTTGAACATGTCTCTAAACGCCAGAGCGTTCAGAAGCTGTGAGATTCATGAATTGCCACAGGCGCGGCATGATTATGCTTCATTGCACCGCTACTCGGCAAAAGGCTAACCTCCATTGTCAGTTTTTTGAGACGCATGCATCAGGAACCATGGGCAGCTGCATGCAAGGTGCTCAACTGATACTTTGTTTTGCACGCCTTACAATTGACTCATACTCTCGATGCATGCAATGCTTCTGAGGTTTTGCCCCTGAGGAGAACTCGTTGGCTGCTGTGCTAACGAACCCAAACTCGACGCAGAGCAGGCTGCCTCTACCCAGTTGGATGCGACGTAAAGCAGCAATGCTAGCAAGCAGAGCTCAGGACATACTTTTGGACAGCTATATCATAAACCAAATAATTCTTGGGCTGCAATGTTCATACGTTATCCCGTACAGACTCACACATGGACCGTTCAATATGCACAAGTCTTGCTGACGGAGGTTGCGCCTGAGATTGCCGGCTTTCGTCCCCAAGGGTCGAGGTGGCGCAGAGCGGCGTAGAGTTCAAGCAGCAACTGGCTCAGATCAAAGTCTGAGGCCAGAAGACTCAAAAAGAACAATCTCCTCAATTGAGAAACATGTTGGTGCTCAGCGCGGGCGGGCATTCAGGTCTTGACGGAACCACTTCGCCAGCGACTGTTTGTTCCGTCAGCGTCCGAGGACGAGTGCTCTTGAGGTGCTTGGCAGTGGGATTGTGCCAAGGTGCGAAGTTGAGGTGCAGGAAGCTGCAGGGTCTTTGGAGATACTTGTGGAGGCAGGAGATCCTAACTGTTGATCAAGCGGAGATCTCGGCGATCCACAAAGACGAAGGCTTGTCAGTGATGTGTTTCGCGCAGGTGCCTCCAAAGGCGATTTGTTCAGTGCTGCTATCCAATGTTTCGCTCATTGCAGGCCTATGCGTTCTTTAAGCACATTTGAGACTACTGGTTGAACTGCGCCAGGCAAGTCGTCCGTGCAAGACGGAACCTCCATGGATAGCCCCGGAGCAGCTCAGGTGGGGACAGAGAGCAAAAGTCAAAGTTTCTATCAAGATTAGCTGTTGCCAGAGGCAGGAAAGCTGCGCAAACACAGCCACGATGCCGAGTCTGGTGTTATGGCCTGAGCTGCTTCTCTTTTTTTTCCCCGAATATTTTCTGATATTCAATGCATATTCAATGCATATTCAATGCATATTCAATGCATATTCTACAGGTCACAGTGCAGATGATTTCTGGCATGGCTCGGGCAGCTTCTGAAGGCTTTGCGCTTACCCACCTTCAGTTCTTAGAGCAACACTGCTTGCAGATATGAGATCCAGTTCATAGCTATGGTCAGCACACTCAAACTGAGTTATGGCCAGGTGCAGCCCATGAGCGTTGGTTGGGGCAGGCCTGGATATGTGAAGCACACGTCCTAATCCTCAACAACTTGGCGTCCGCACTTTCAGTTTGTTAGGCGGACATGCAGACAGTCAAGTGTTGGTCTCGCTGGGAGCACGAGTG